ATGTATTCGCTATCGCCAAGTCGTGTGCTTCTGCGGCTTCCAGGATGCGTTCTCCACATTCATTCCTCTGACCGTATCCGTTTCCACCATGGTAGCTCTTGAATCCATCGTGTTCGTGGCCAACGTGCCCATTAAGAGCGCCTCCCACGAAGATGTAGTCTGCAGCGTCAAATGTCCTTAGCAGGATGTCGAAGTCCCTCCAAAATACGTCCTTCTCGGCTTCGGTACATGCGGATTGCGGGGCATAACACGAGACTATCCGAAGCGTGGCATCATCTGCTTCGATCTTCATCGCCATCAATCTATCTGAAATGCGCGTCACTTCAGTCACTAATTTGCGGTATCTACCGCTGACGATGATCGCGACTCCGTTCTGGCGGCTGCTATCTCCCGTGTAGTATAAGCGATATCCGTCGCCGATGTCCTTGGCCTGCCTCCCTTTCCATTTCGTTTCCTGTACACATGCGATGTCGATGTGTCGCTCCTTCAGCCTATCACATAGCTCCCGGCTGCGGCTCGTCAGCGTTCCTATATTAATCGTCGCCAGTCGGATTTCCTGGACTCGCCTCTTTGGCCTGCCGCGTCCTGGGGGCAGGTAGCCCTAGCTCACTATTCGCGCCATGCGGGACGCGCGTCGCCTCCGGGGGACGCCCTAGCCGCTTGACGAAAATCCTTAATAGTCCGATGCACGTGACACGACTGATTCGTACAGTCCCCGGCGCGTCGCTGCGCCTGACGGGACAGTGCCCTCGTCGTTTGCCGGGGTTGATCCTCGTTGCCAGCCGGCACCGCGGGGAGGTGACGATGGGACTTTGCCGGCCCCTAAATAATGCAACCAAGTGTGATATAATTTTTATTTGAAGTATTTTTTTGTATAAAGTGCTCTGATGATTGTCACTGTTTCGTTGAAGAGCTAGAAAAAATATTACGGCTATTTTTGTCCTACTTGCACATTCAATTTTTGCTCCAACAAGCAAACTCACAACAACTCGTCCATAAGGGTTCTGCAGATAATTAAGGCAGGTTTGGAATCAGCTCTTTATGCCCTTCAATATGGTGTACTACGCATCTAAAAAGACCACTTTGACTAAACATGCATTCCCTGTCAGAGGTAATGTCTAAACAAAATTGCTTTGGTCACGAGTGAATCATATGAGTTACGTCTTAATGATTATGTGGGGTTATGACTTTTCATAGCACTGAAAATGAGTTTTTTACTTTACATATAAGGTTGGTCCGAAACTTCTGTCCCACCATTTTCAAAAAATCATAACTTCCTCTTAACATGATGTTTTTGCATGTTTAGAACCTTGTTGAAAAGAGTAATTCATGCGCTTTCTAGATACATCTTGGATGCTATCTAATAGGCTCTGCATGGAGAGACCGCTTCTCTTTATACTGTGCATGGACACGGTGACCAAGGACATTCAGCTGCCGCATCCGTGGACGCTCCTTTACGCAGACGACGTCCAGCTAGCAAGCGGATCGAGACAAGAGCTTCAAGAGGCGACTGTGAGATGGAAGACACGATTAGCGGAATATGGCCTACGACTGAACGTAGCAAAGACCGAGTACCTGGAATGCGGAGAGCAAACCGAGGGCACAATTAGCATCGATGGGCAGCCGCTGAAGAAGGTCACGATATTCAAATACCTGGGCTCCCGAGTGCGTCGAATTGCGACACGATCACTGATGCTCGTGCTGGGACGAACGCGGCGTGGCTAAAATGGCGGCAAGTAACAGGAGTACTCTGTGACCGACGAATTCCGCTGTATCTCAAGTCGAAAGTGTATCGGACTGTGGTGAGACCAGTCGCACTGTATGGAGCCGAATGTTGGCCAGCAACCAGAAAACACGAGCAGATCCTGAGCACGATGGAGACGCGAATGATAAGATGGATACTTGGCCCAACGAGAAGAAACTGCGTCACGAACGATGATGTACGACACATTTTCGGAGTTGCACTTATCGCGGATAAGATGCAAGGTGAGGTGCTAGATTACGATGGTACGGTCACGTTTTACGAAGTGAAGATGATATAGTAGCAGAAACAGCACTTCGTCTAGATCCACAGGGGAAGCGACCGCGTGGCCGTCCGAAGCAACGCTGGATGGATACCATTCGAAACGACCTGCACATTGCAAAGCTCAAACTACAAGAGGCAGCTGATCGAGTCAAATGGAAGCAAAAATGCACCATCGCCGACCCTGCACCCGCGGGACAATGGCGAAGATAAAGAAGAAGAAGAAGAAGAAGGTTGCATTATTTAGGACTGTTAAGATTTTAGCAACTCATTTTATCCAAAATGCATATTCAATTTTTATCTCCATTACACGCTCATAACTTCTCGTCCGTAAACGTTTTGCATATCAGGAATACAGATTTGGAATCAGCGTTGCATGCTCTTCGCTTGTTTGGCGTTCTAGACGTAAGCCTGCGAATATACCCAGATTCTTTAAAAACACAACTTGTTGGGTACATATGAGTAAGTTCATATCCAGGGTGATTAATTCAAAAATATTCTTGTTCTAGCTCAAGTCTATGGCTTTTGACATTGTTGTCTGCTAGGATAGTACAAAAGAAAACAATATCAAAAGGGTATAAAAGTACATGAGATCTATCCTTTGATTCAACTGGCTTGTCGGCTGGAAGGCGGGGCTTCGTAACCTAGTTAAGGCTAGATAATGATCAGAGAGCACGCGAGCAACAGAGACGCAGACTGCGTCGCGGGCGCGAGCGGCTTTGATCAGGTCACAAACCCCGCCTTCTGACCGCCAAGCCAGTTGAAGAAAAGGTTACATCATTCCGGATTGGTCTTCACAGAAATAGATACGTTGAAAGCATCGACAAACGTAGCAAGGAAGTTGTGTTAGCAAGCAAAGGATTGAACTTAGAAAGGTGAGCAACGCACCGAGACAGCTGCGCCGATTTTGTTGAATGAATACAAGCTCTGTTTTATAAACACTGCATTTTATCGATAAACCTCTTAATCAAAAGTTAAGACGAATTCAAAATGCGAATCAGACTTCACACATTGGAAAATGCTGTATCTTGATTTGCTCGATTTTAATGCACAACCATTAGCCTTAGATGACTTATACGAGTGCTTCATGACCAGGGCTCGGCGTCAATGGTTACGGGGTAAGCAGGGTATCGTTTCGTGGTGAAAAGTAAGAGGGATATCGTTTACGGCAACCCTACCCCCCCCCCCCCCACCCTCCTCCCACACAATCAAATTCTCCCTCTTATATCACCTTCATCCTGTAGAGGACCCAGATTTCCATTCCTGCCTTATCGATTCCTGCAAAAACCAGAAAATCCCTGTCCCAGTCAGGTTCGCCGGTTAAGCGCGCGAATTCCAAAAAATTGCGCCGAAACAGACTACAAAAACCTTGTCTACAGCGAAGAGAAAATGAAATGACACAAAATTGGTGTTTAGATGGGTAATAGGGATTTAGGACCATGTACGAATAATTATGAAGAAATTATGTGAACTGAAGGCGTAACAACTTTTTTTCGGAGTTGGGTAGCTTTTCAGCCACCTGAACAGCCATCTGAGGTGGCTGTGAAAAGAAAAAGCCTGCTCCAAGCGCGCAGGGGTGAGCGCCGGACACAGCATGCGCCAATTCGGGGAATACAAACATCTTTAGTTCTTTATCGTCTGTTCAACGTTGTTTTTAAGTTCTGTTCCATTATTTTTTGTTATTAGTTTATCCATTTACCAGTGCGCCACCTCTGCTTCGCAGAGGCTCGCACTGGCTCTACTATCTATGTGCCTTACTCATTCTCGTAAAGTCGTGGCACTGGAACTCACTGCGCTATGCCGACTACCACGAGTAAAATGTAGACAACTTCTCATTTAGAAAGCTTTTCACGTGAGGTCGGTGATTTCGTGTGGATGAAACTTTTCGCAGAAAGACAAACGCAAATTTGAATAGGTTTCCGAATTTGTCATGGCTTGGTAGTTCGCCATAAAGGCAATAGTGACCGTGCTCTACATCTCCGTACGAAAATTTTCTCAAATGCTTGAGTAGAACCTTAGCAAATTGACCATTTACGCAGCCAATTCTTTTTGGCGCCGTTTTCGTTATGTAGTAAAATTTTGACCACTTTTCGGGCTAAATCCCATTTCGCTTGCACATTTACTTACCAAACGCATCCACCACTTTGCAAAAAGTGGTGATACGGACTCAATTTTACGTGATAGAAGCCAGGTGGATCCGTTTGGCGCGCAATTTTGAGGGATACTCAACGAATCTACTCGTGCTTTTGCATAGTGGGCTTTCATGAAGGTAGCATGCGCTATGCAAAAATTGAGCTCAGGACGTTGGCTGGAAACTGCTCTACGAATTTCGTAACAGACACACACACACACAAAAGCACGTAAACACCCTTAACCCGTTATTATAAGTCATGATGATCGCGTCATAGGTGATGTTGCATTTTTGTGGCGAAGTTTACGAGGACTTCGTTTTTGAAAAATTGACTAATACCGCCTCATGAGCCCTGGTCACATCTCATATCACAAGACTGGAACTCATTTGTTCTCAGTCTTGAGACTTTTTCCAGTAGCAGTACGGTATAGTTGATTTTAAGAATGCACCTGGTTGTCAACAGGAAATCGGCTAATAGAAAGTTCTCTTGCCTATTAGAGTTCTGGTTTTTATGCGAGAATCGCAAGCGAGACAAATCCGGAAAATTTCACCCAAACAGTTCGTAGAACTTATTCCTGGGCAAATGTTCGTTTTACTTTCCGAAGATTTTTTTTTTCAAGACGCAGGGTGTATATTTGCAGAAGCATCTGCAAACAAATCAGTACACTAGATTCTCATGGCCCTACATCTAGTTCTGGACGTCTTGGACAGGGATAAAAGCACCAGAGACAATCAATTTTTCCACTTTATTACAACTAGTTCTAATAATTTGAAAATAATGCGATTTAGTTTATGTCATGAAGTAGGAACAAGCTTTAAAGATAGAAAATCTCTTTGGTGACACTGTCATTCCGGTACTTCCGGGATTTCCCATCCTTCACCAGTGACTTCAGTCACTATTGGGAACCTGTAACAAGTACAAATAGTATTACATATCATAACCAACGATGGCTTACCAGTCAACAACGCGGTTATGGTGCAGTAAAATGAGAGCAGCAAGAGCACAACAAATGATATACATCGTTGAAAATACCGCCAGAGTTGTCATTAGAAGATTCTGGAAATATTCTTTAGCATCTTGACTAAAGTTGTACAATCGTGTACATGGCCTTTTATGAAGAGATTCTGTAACTTATCAGACGAGCTAAATTTTAGGTTTTGAAATCCATAAAGTGGTGACAAGCAAATTAAATCCTCATCGCAACCATGATCATCATCTCATCCATTCCCCCTCAATATAAAACTTTTTTTACGGGAGAGGGGGTGTGGGGAGTTCAGTGCTTGTCTAAAACACTCCACTGAAGTAGAAGCGTAAAGAGGATAAGTTGAGGATCTAACGATGTTTCTGCCTTGAATTTTCATGATGTCAAACAGACCTTAAAAACAACAAAAATTCAAAAATGACTTTTTCATCAATCCCTCAAACGATAGTACATAAATTACAAATGGCTTGTAGGCTGCTGGCAATCCTTAGCCTAATACTAAGCATAATTTTACTAGATTTCTTCAGATCTTGCTCTTCACAAGCTAATCGGCTAACTAGCAAGCTATCGCCTTCAAAAGATTTCTTATTTGAATTTAGGTTCAAGACGGCTTTTTCAGAAGAAATTGCTATTTGTCTTCCGCTCATCCGCGAAAGAACGGCGGGTTCGGATGTAGTAAACGCCAAAGTTTCGGTAACACAGAGGTATGAAACCTTATTGGGAGTTCTAATGGCACAACCTAAGCTTTAAATTAGACCTGTGGACTTCAAATGCCAAGTCAAACTTTTGCCCGTTGGTAACCCATAATACTTACAACTTTGGATATATTCGAGGCTTCAAGTCGTAACATAAATGTAGTTGTCCCTTAAGTTTTTTCCATTAAAAACATAAGCTTTTAAGGAACCTGAACTCACCTTCGCCGCGAACTTTCCTTCTTTTCCTGGAAACTGAAGCTGAAGACTCCGATGGTCTGTAAGAATGTTACAATCGTCTATGATAAGAGAATAATTCTACTGCGCAATACTTTGTGCGTTTGTCCTTGGAGGATGAGCTTTCCTTTCTGCGCGCCTCCTTCATCGTCACGTAGCCATGCGCCGGCTCCACTGTATCATAGCCTCCTCCTTCTGGTTTGAGTTCGTCATATCCTCGGCTCATACCTGAGGTCGCACACAGTATACTTGGCCAAGTGAATAATGCCTGCCTACCGAGAGACCACGCTGAATAAAATGCAAGCTAACTTCTATCTTCTTCACGAAAACGCTGTATTTTCATTTCTAGCTCAATGCGGTCAGTTTTTTCCAAATAAATCATGTTTTGCTATCGATACTAGACTTCTCGGTTGCGCTGGGAAACAACTAAATGGTAAGTAATAGGATGTGTACTTACGAAAGGCAGTATAGGCTAATCTATACTTGCAGAAATGTGCATCTATGTCATCTGTGATTCCACTCTCCATTTGTTAATGTTTGATTGGAGAATACACGAATACCCATGCACATAGCGAGTCAAGGAAAGAGAAAAAGATTGCTCAGTTTTGATGTGCCATACAAGGTTGATACAGTGGTAGATTTTTCGTGGCCTGACGCTTTGCGCTGCAATCGTCCTTCAATGCATTACCTGCTTTAGACTATCAAATGCCTCCTCTAGCTCAGCTAGCTTCAGTTTCTTTGAAAAAAAGGAAATGCTTTTTCTGCTTTCACAAACAGTTCAAATGTTTTTATGGCGATGCTCTTCGTGGTGCGAAAAATTCCCACAGTTTGTTGTAATTTCTTCTAGCTTTTACAAAATATTATTCTTTGCATTTTATTTGGTGCGTACAGCTAATCAAAATTGTGCTTTGAATAACCTCCATCAATTTTCGGGCTCAGGATCATAGCATGGTATTTATAGCAATTACAATTCCACATTGACGGCCACAAAAAATTACGCTGTAGCGTGATATTAGAAGAAAGCATCTTACAAGCAAATGGGATATAAACTTTGGATGCTTACCGGAAAAGAGAAATAAGTAAAGGTTTGGATGGAAATTGTTCCGAAAATTGAAAACGGAAGCCTCTTTGCAGAGCATTAGAAAGTTATGAAAAGTGTCATAGATGGAAAGAACTTTTCTTACGATGGAAACATCATAGTGAAGAGTACACAACCATTCAGAGAATCGCAAAATACTTCCGAGGAAAACTGAACTTCGAAAACTTCCGGGACGTACGCTCCTATTAGGCCGTGTGGGTGACCCGCCCTACCTGGCCGCGCCCTACCTGGCAGTTCCAATGTGAGTGTCCCCCCGGAAGCTCAGAACTCCAGTTTTTCCAAAAAAAATTTTGCGATTGTCTGAGCAATAGCAGCCTCGTAAGCAGCATTTAACTCCCACTATCTTTTCCAAAGATTCTAAATGTGCTAAACGTGCTGTTCACTTCCAAAAGCATGAAGGACTTGCTTTGGAGGCCTGAAAAAGCAATATAGGCGTGATTGTTTGCTAGCTCTACTGTATTTTCGGTGGATACGTTCACTGACGTTCAGTAGAAGCTTGATGATTTCTGTATCATTCAACCATTAATGAACTCTATATTCTAGATATTCTAGATAGCCTATGGGATCCTCGTAGGCTAAATTGTGAGCTACTCACTCTTGAGTATCTAACTACTCAAGGTGAGCGGTGCCCGTGCGCCAGGAGTGTAGCCAATCGGCGGCATCTCCTTTCAAGCACTGATTCGCTAGATTGTATGTACCCTGTACTCGGCTCAGCTCCGCCTTCCTTCTATAAAAGGAGCCTCCGATTGTATTAGAGGCTGCTCCCCGGTCCACACCGGGACACCTCACTCTCTTCTCGCCCGTGCAAATAAACCTGTATTCCACAACTCGTCTACCCCCTAATACTTGGTATTAACTAAACTGGCTCAACCAATATTTTTCTGGAGCGCTGCACTGATGTGACTTCCGTTCGGCGCTTCTAGACAACTACAACGTAATAAGTTTACATGGTTTAAAGCACAATCTCGACTCAGCACGTTCAACAGGCTGCCAAATGAGGAAAACTCATTGTCAACAATCTAACTAAGTAATCTATGAGTCACATCAGTGTTACTGCGCTTTGTGAGTTTACGGTGATTTATCATTTCAGGATTTGGCATGTTAGAGCCGGTTTCGCTGTATTAAACAACTGGGAGAACGTCAGCCAAATTTTTGCAAAATTTCCAAGCTCGGGTAAGGTGAAATTGCGCAATCACCTACTTCTTTTACATAGAATCAAAATAATTTATAGAACTTCAGATATGTGTGAATGGTATAGCATTTGGATCCGTTGTAGCACTAGGAGTGGATGTAATTGTTCTTCCGTCAGCAGTGTTATTCTTGGGTCCGTATCCACAGTTCTTGATGCATAAGTGATGATGATGCCTGCGGTGGCCTGTGCAAAATCGACCACACTGCAATAACAGGAATCTTAGCAAAACCCCGTAAAGATGAAAAGCTGTGTGCTGACAAGTGTGCTCATAACCCCCGCTCTGCTGCTTTCTGCAACTACGATCATGCACGCCAGCATCGCAATCGCGAACATTCTTGAGCGAAGCCTTCGACCTAACATTTTGTGCTATCATAGCTTATTTAGTCGTTAAACGAGATGACGTTGATGAGTACCCTATTTTCAGGTGTATAGGCCGCGGGGTGGTCCTAGCTTATATCGACCAGTCCGAATACATCAAAGGACCTCGCAACCAAAGGACCTTACACTATACTGCGTATTGCCGGGAGACGGCCCTTCTGAACCGCTAACATTAGCAGCCTAATTACTGCGCGCCTCTGATTGGTCGGTGTTGCCGCCGCTTGGGTGAGCGAGAGCTATGCTGTCGTTAGAGACGTCTGAATTGGACTGCAAAGGCATTCTCATGATAAAAAGAATCAAACAAGATTTCGATTCCCATGAAACTCGAAAGTGTTTTATTTGGGCGGCTTAGTAAATTCTTCAGCTTACACGTGCACACTTCATGGCGTTTTGAAAACTGAGAAGGGCGAAGAAATTACGAAATGGTCTTAGAAACATGCAACCTATCCAACTTTTTGTCTTCATAATTCAAACATCCTCACTATCATTGTCGTATGCCTCACTTGCTTTGGAATGCTCAGAAATATTTGAAAACTCTGCTAGATTATGAAAAAGACGAAAAAGTAATTAGCGCTAGGACGGAGCGGTTCAGAAGGGCACACACCCCGTATTGCCCGAATAAAACGTGCGGTATAAGAATCGCTTCTCGAAACAACACAATGGCCCGTAGTAAACCCCTGTTCAGCCAACTCGGCTGGGGGCTGGCCTACGTTGAACGTAGAACGACTCAGCCCGGCATCCAGTGAGCTATTGATCAGGATGCGGATCACTTTTTAGTCCTAGAGATCTTGTGCGTTCTCAAAAAATAATCCCCTTGAGCGGTTTGGTCGAACGGCTAAGTGAAAAGGTTTCAACGCGAAAGTCCATGGTTCGCAATCGGCTAGTGGCGAATTTTTGTGCCACCCAGGATAACCTTTGATAGCGGCCGTCATCAAGAAAAATCGATGGCGACCGCTATCAAGGATATTGCCAAGCAAACAAATGGATAAAATAAAACAATCATATTTTTACGAAGATATTATGAAAAAACGAAATTGTTGGAACATAAAACAATTGAAGCAAATCAAGAAATCCTTGTTTGAAGCAGTTTTTGAAAGAGAAACGTAAGCGAGCCCTGAAAAAAGAGAAATCCTGCTCTTTTGCTTTTCTCTCCGCTATCAGCTGTTCATTGATCCTTTCCCCTTTAGGCCGCCGAAATTGTGCAATTTTGGGAATTTTGCACCGCAGTAGTATGTCAGCTGAATTCTCCCGTAACTCAGACACTGGGACCGGCCGAGCCGCGGCCCATTTCCGGCTGGAATTTCGCAGCGTCCGCGGACCAGCCGGTGAATGGTCCGCGGCTCAGCCGAAAAACGGCCTCGGCTCAGCCGGAAAACGGCCGCGGCTCAGCCGGAGCTGGTTGTCGGGCCATCTAGTTCATTCTAGCTCGGATACAAAACGACTGTTTTTTTATTCACTGGCACGTAAAATATACGCTGTGAAAAACAAAAATTGAAGCCACAGACATGGCCCCTTCGGAAACCATGTCCGGCTCCAAGATTGGACAACACAAAGTGCTATCTAGGTGTTGTACAACATATTGGTCTTGTTCCTGCCTTGGAGACTGGAAAGACAACGGACGCTATGGACACTGAGGGCAGCCTGACCATGCGTCGTACATCACGCAAGTGTTCTTTACGCTCAGATACTAGGACGGGCCGAGCCGAGAATGGGCCGCGGCTCAGCCGGTGTTTCGTAATAGAGATTTTGGTCCGCGGCTCAGCCGGTGCAATCATATCGACATGAATTAAGGTCCGCGGCTGGGCCGGTAAGCCACATTCGGTCCGCGGCTGGGCCGGTAAGCCATATTCAGTCCGCGGATCAGCCGGTGCAATCATATCGACATGAATTAAGGTCCGCGGCTGGGCCGGTCTTCGGCCACGCCCCCAAATTAAGGCCGCGGACGGGCCGGAAAGGCCTTTTGAGGCCGCGGCTCAGCCGATCCCAGTGTCTGAGAAGTTACTCACGAGCAACTTACGGGAAATTTGTCTGATCCTCCTCTTAAGCACACCATTTCTCTCGAGTCACCCGAAAATTCAACCTTGGATAAGTGGCATTCTGGTTAACTGACTGTGACACTTGACCAGACAGTCTTCTGACTGTTGAACTGACTATCCTAAAGCATGGGAAGGTGGGCGGGATTAGGTTCACCCGAGGAAGTTCTTCTGAATGACTAATCTCAAGTCACCTGAGATGAATGGGGGTTTACTACGGGCCAATGAAGCGGCTGAGCAGCTCGTGGGAAAATTTTGAAAAGTGCGGCTTATTCACCTGAAAATAGGGTAAAATGAAATGTGCATTTGACCTTCAATACAATACAACTTAGTAGATCTTTGGCAGTGTGTCATAAACACTGCCTTGATTTCTTGTTCATATGCGCTATATATTGACGTCGAACAACAGAAAAACGCGCACGGGGTGCACGTAACTCAGCTTCGTTGCTACTCAATGCAAAGTTGCAGGATGGAGGTGACTTTGGATAACCCGTGACAGTCAATGCAAAATTCTCTACATTGATCTGCACAAAAAGGCTCGAAAGGGTCAGTCAGGAGATTGAATTATAAGCAGTCGGTACGCAACGATTAACTTCAGGCAAAGTACACCTGCTTAGGTGTACAAAATGCCGCGAATATGAGTTTGCCCGCGCGTCAGCTAGGAACACGCAGAATTCCCAGCATTGGGTTTGAAAATAGATTTATTTATATTCAAAAAAATAGTTGCGCCTAGCTTATCAGCTGAATTCTTGGATTATCAGTCATAAACTTCGAGAATGGTTAAGACGTGGAAGAGGCCTTGCCCATATCTTACTGCATCGATAAGAAAAGTAGTAGCGCTGTTCGGGCTCCGATGTCTGATTACACTAATCGTATCAATTGTTCTGATGGCATTCTGCGAATTAGAGTATGTAGGTACAAGAGCAACTACATTTTTTCAATTTATTGAGTCTAATTAAATCTGGCACAAAAAGTGCGGTTTCTGAGCGTTTTGCCCCGAAAAATCCAAGTCGATCTGAGGTGAAAATCCTTGGGTTTAAGATTTCAACATCTTGTTAGTGCACAGCCAACTTGTTTATCATTATGAGAAAAAATAACGTTGGAGATGACCTATGAACATAGGCAATTTCCATGAGTTGAAGTGAGGACCTTTTCGGTTTGAGAACAGGGCAACTAAATAGTTTTTTTTCTGAAGTTCTGTAGCTGCTCAAAAATTAATAATATCCTGCTGCCTCAAAACTTATGTTTGTTACTTCCATTTTGTGAAAAGAAGATCATAGCCCTGTGCCGTAGTTGGCCTGCTTTCAGCCAATGAAAATTGAAATTAAAGAAAAAAGTGAATGAATACAACACACAAGTTTCGATTAGAGATTTATTCGATAAAAGCCTGAAAGAATGCAAAACACTGGAATGTCGATTATAGATCTATGGCTTACTCTTCTCAAACTTGTAAGTTTGCGATAATTAAACGTGTGCGATAAAGGTCTAAGCTATCTAGGAAAATAATACAGCGTAATTATTCTTTCGATATTTTCTCCAATGTTGGGACATTTTATGAAGATCAGCAGTATTTTGCTTGAACAGAAAAAGTATGCATATAGCTCGCATATATAAAAACGACCAAGATTTTATCGCACTGTATCAGGTTGCTATTCATCTGCTTCAAAAAATCCGAGTGATTGTATTATTTGGATTATGTATCTAAAATAAAGAGAAAAGAAAGAGAATCAGCAATACTGAACAGTTTTCTATCTTACAAAGCATTCAGTCAATTTCAAAAGGCAGCAGCAAGATTTCTTTTGAGAATTCATCATTCGCTAGGTGGAAGCTAATCGCGTTGAATTTGGCAAATGAGTAGCAGTTGAAAGAGGACGAACTGTCCAACAACTCCTTTCTTTTATAGCGCTTTGAACCTGTTTTGACGTCCCTGCCACCTCGCAATAATTTGTCATTTTAAAGAGTATTCAAAGAGTATTGAATACTGCTACTTGCATGGATTCCTGAAGTGCACAGTGACTGAATTGCTTTCGGTCTTTGTTTGGATCTAATTCGCTTCGAGTTTTGCACTATCAAGCATTGAGCAATGCTGTACTTGGTGGTTAACTACTGAATGAAAACTCTAGGAGGGTTTCGTCAAAGCTGATGAGTTAATTAATTCCGCAAAATTTGAGTGCATGACCAGGGCCCGGCACGAGTCGGTTTCTAGGGTTTCTGAATACGAAGTCTCCCTTGACTTACGGAAATTTTACGAAGTCCCCTCTGACCTACCTGCTTAGAAGAAGATGAAAACAAAAAAAATTACTAGTCTGAAAGAAAAGACGTAAGATAAGAGCGAAAATCCAAATTGGAGCTGTGTACTACGCATGCACAAGACTTTAGCATTAGAGCGCGATATTTAACAAAGCGAGAATAAGTGAAGGCAAAAAACAAAGGAAAGGCAATGATATGAAAATGTCTTCATGCTCAGAGATAGATTTTTGACCGGGGAATCCGTCCATGCTAAAAAGATCCGAAACTTATGTGAAGTGACGGAAATATATGCTCCAGACGATCTCAGATCGTCTGGTGGCCGTCTGGAGACGATCTAATTTTATAGATATAGTTCAATTTTGGTGTCATATGCTTCTGTGTGCGCTGTAAACAAGCAATTTGTTTATTTTAGCCTTGCTTTCAAATCGCGCGCACTTTTCGCCATGCACGATAGAGCATGTCATTCGTGTGATAACCTGTCCGTAAAGCTTGTGTTCGACTAAATGGCGCTCATTCTTGGTGCTTGGCCCTTATTCGTCAGAAACGATATCTCCTTTGCTGTTTGCTTCAAAAACGAAGTCCAGCCTGCTTCCAGACGGGCCGGGCCCTGTGCATGACGTATCGAGCAGTAGTAGGTCTTGTGCTATTTGTCTTTTGCCACAGTAATTTCTCTGCGTCACAGTACTCCCATTGTTAGCTCATAACCAATAGACTTAACATTACTTGTGCGAAACATATCATTTTTCATTATAAACTTGCTGGTCCATCAAACCCTCCAACAGGAGATGTGCGCAAATTATATTAAATCCTTCCGAAAGTTCTTTCCGTTTTCGTCCTATCATAAAGGCACGTGGAATGAAGATGAGCAAGAACTTCAAAAACTAATCATGCAATTCTTCTTCTTCTTTCCAGCAATAATGTTTCTGTGCTCTTTCCTTTTGTGATTATCAAGATAACTGCGAAATTTCAAATCCGTGGTTTAACCATGCCGAAGTTTGGCGTTTCTTTTCAAAATCTTCATCTAGAGCTTCTGCAAGAGTATCGAAAATAGGTGGATAGAGTGAACAAAGTGCCACACAACAGATTCTTAAGCTTCTCCAGCTCGCTTTTTAGTATTTTTAAAGGTGAATTTTCCAAAAGTACTACGTTTGCGAGTCTTTTCAAATAAGAACACGTCATATATTGAGAATTTGGAAATCAAGAGTTTCAAAACTCGATTACCGTTCAACATCAGTTGTATAAGGCAAGCGCGGTTTAAGCTTCAAAATAACGAATCCTAAAATTCTGGTCCATTGGCGCTTCCTTAATTTACAATTTACAATTTATCATGATTATTTCATTCGCGGTCAACTCGGATTTTATTCGATACAGCTTTTTTCTCTTCTTTCTTCAACAAATTGAGGGGAAAAACACCTATCAGAAAGAAGAGAAAAAGCTGTATCGAATAAAATCCGAGTTGCTTGTCTATTGATGTTCTAGGTTTGGCTTAGCCAATTTGGGATTTATCAATATCAGAAAATCAACCTGGGATAGTTCTCAAAAATAAAACTGCTATCTGAACCTTCCGCCTAGGACACCTAAGAAGACATTAACGGTGGAGTTAGCGAAGTATCACGTTGGTTATTCCAATCGATTATCGACATCGGTTTGTTTGGACGTCTCCTTCATCACACCAGCAAGTCTGAAGCCTCTCTATACATTCCCTGGAAAAAATTATCTCAAGGGTATCGAAAACTAGACCATCTTCGTTCTCTATCTATGTGAGATACACTATCTTCTCTCATTTCTACAACTAACGATAAGAGTCATTTTCAAACCCCAGTGTTCTCTCTTTCCTAACCCACCTGCGCGCATAGCAGCATCGAAAAATAAAGTTCCCCTGCATTCATTCTTTACAGAGTATAAAGATAAGGATTACAATCAACTACCACTTCACTACGAAGTCTTATGCATTTTTAGTTTTTACGAACAGAGGAAAGATAGTTAGCCAAACTGTTTTTATGCTGCTACTAAAACTAATATGCATTCAGAGTTGGCTGGACTATGTGTTTCCAATGCACTAAAACGTCTGCTGGAAGATCGGAGAGGAGAAAAACGGCTCCTGGTTCATCCTTGCCAAAACCTATACCAACGCCCACAGCAGGTGCACCTGCGCCGCCACATGAAACAAATGTTGCAGCGAAGAAGGATGTCAACAATGAAAATGTCTTTGCTACAAAAGCGCAGGTATGTTTATATATAACCCTGCAGACACTGCTCAACTGCTGCGAATTTATTTATAGACACCATCCAAAGGTGATTGACGAATTTACCTTTACCTACATTGCCGTAAGTTCAACAAAGATTGTTATGCAAAACTCATGCATACGACTGCAAAGAATGCGCTTCTCTGCCCGTTCCAAATTCACCGGTATAGATAATACTGGCTTCTATGTGGGGCGAATTGGGCATCCATGGAGAGGAAATGATCAAATATAATTAGCTTTATGGATCAAATATAGCGCTACAAAACCAGCTGGACCTTCTCATTTTGCAACAAGTTGGATTTTTACCCCTGAGATTTGAGTCTTTCCAGCACTAACTTGAGCTCAGGAAAACAATTCATTCACTTTCTCAAAGGCTCAGCTGATCAGTCATTTACCATAACCGGCTAGGTTTTCTGCTCTTTATCTCCCGAGAGTTCTCTTAGCCAGCACACTTCATTGTGAAGATTAATGCTTGAGACGCTTTGCGATATTCCTTCGGTTTGAGAATACTAGTGCTACCAGCACCAGTGTTACATACCATTGCTGCGGTGTTACTAGGTCGGACCGTTCAAAATTCACCGGTCTAGATAATACTGGCTTCTAAGGGCGAATCGGGCAACTATGGAGAGAAAATGACCAGATATAGCTTTATAGATCAAATATAGCGTCACAGAATCAGCTAGACCTTATCATTCTGCAACAAGTTGGAAAATTTTACCCCTGAAATCTGATTCTTTCCAGCACTATACTGAGCTCAGGAAAACAATTCGTTCACTTTCTCAAAGGCTCAGCTGATCAGTCATCACCATAACCGGCTAGGTTTTTCCGCTCTTTATCTACAGAGAGTTCTCTTAGCCAGCACACTTCATCGTAAAGATTAATGCCTGAGACGCTTTGCGATATTCCCTTCGGCTGAGAATACTAGTGCTACCAGCACCAGTGTTACCATTGCTACCTGTGTTACTAGGTTACCGCTGCTAGCGTTGTTCGTTTTGAACCGTCGACCATTGTTACCCGTATTCTAGTACGCACTACAGAACTTTCTGTTTCGCTACCCGACCAGCTGGAAGCTATGTTTGCCTTCTACTGCTTTCTTGTTGTTCTATAATAGAAGACTTATTTACCCCTATTTTCAGGTGTACAGTCGATTTCACCCCGGATTAGGCTGTTTATTCCACGAGAAGCGACGCGTGCGTACCGCTAGAGGCTTCGCGAGCGCATAGCGGTGGCATTTTGCCAAGCAAAGACTGAGGAGAATGAAGAGACGCAGACCTCGGTTCTCAGCACGACAGGTTGTACTGTAGCTGCGAAACGGCGCGAGCTGTTGCGGGGCGGACGCCCGCCTACCCAATTTCCGCCTAAAGCGGGTCGAAGTTTACTGTATAAGCCGCACCCTTTCCGCTTTAAAGGCGATCACGCCAAAAGACTGACTGTCATCATGGAACGCGTTAAGTGAGAGCAGTACGCGATAAGGCGACCGCTTCGCGAGTCATACGCAGGGCGGCACGCCTGGGTCTGCTCGCGTTTAGAGCAAAGAGGGTGCGGCTTATATGTACACCTGGAAATAGGGTACCATTCTACGAGATCTCGAACATGAAAGTGAGACTGCGAAGCCTGTTGGAGCGGAACACCGGTAAAAACGGTGAAAACGGTTGAAATGAAAGCAGTAACAGTTTTGAGAGAAGTGACACGAGTAACTCTGGTAACACTGGTAATGTGTGTCCAGAGCCTTAACCCGCGAAATTAGTGCCCTACCTAGGCGTTTGCCAATGACTATGTTCTCGGTCCCTGCATTCGCTAGTACATCTGCTGGTATTCATGAGTAACGTCTTAAATCATTCCTGCAACAAGCATCTCTTCCTCCTCACAACTCTGAGTGCGCGGGCTATTCGAAATAGTGTGCGCACTCAGAGTAACAACCTTGTCCAAACGGAAAGTCTACATTCAAACGCACCGCAAAATGGGAATGTATTTCTAAAGATATGAGGGCAGTGTCCCGGCAGATTCGATAGACTGATATAATGTGGTGGGATTCGTGGCCATCCCACCTGGCCTTCGGGCCCTACCCGGCTGCATATGTTACCTCTGCCCCGAAGCAAATGCTCGTGATCCGGCGCGTACTTGGACGATTCCGTCTACCTATTCCGCGCGAACCACCACCATCATAGCCGATCCTGCACTGTGCATCCATCTAGTGCAGAAAACAGGCGGTAGATTTTCGTGCCAAGGCCCCCCCCCCACCGACTTTCCTTGAAAATCTCGTCCGAACTTCCGTTTGGAAAGTGGGTAAACGTCCTGACAACGGTTCACTCGATTTGAAGCTCGGATTCGGGGTTCTAAAGACAACAACGCCCAAAACATGTAAAGCGGTCGAAATGCAACATCCGACGGGACCCTGACTTCAACATCATCACCCTTGAGATCTTAATGCTTTTCCTCCAAGTAGTCCTACGTAGGCCTTATTCACGTATTTTGTTACCCTTGGTTTGTGACTGACCTACTCTACTAACCGACATCAGCAGTTTCAGTTAGCGCCTTACTATATCTGCATAATTAAGTATGCGCTTATGTCGTGCCTGGACGGCTCCTACCCTGTTTCCGTCAAAAATGGCGGTTGATAAGCGCGTTGTTCGCAATTGCTTTTAATCTTTGAAAAGCCCACAAGGCCTAGCAAATACGCTCAACTCATATTGCAATTTTTTTCAGAAGAGAAATCGGATGAGCCACTCCACATCAAGGTTCCGCCTCCACGTATCATGTTTGTTCTTGCGCATTTTTTTTTCGCAAATCATGCTCAAGCAGTGCTTTAGGAAAGCGAGACGCCCAATGAAAATAGTCCGATCGTCACGTGATCCTGCTTATAAAACGCTAGAGCCAGACATGAGCGATTGGGAAAGTGCAAAAATAATGAAGCGAGACGAATTGATTGCGGAAAACCTCGATAAGAAATGTTCTGAGGTATTTTGTAGTGGAGGTTCGATTCTTTTTACAAACAGCTCTTTTTCAGGAAAATGATCAAAACGAATTTGGTGCAGCAGCATAATCTATCTTAAAACCCACTCATATTCAGTGTTAATAAATATTAGTTTTATTACTTTGTTTGTGTATTTTTTCTCAAGATAAAGTTGAAACTTGTGAAGACATAACAATTGTCAGCTAGCAGGCATAACTAAAGGACTAATCAAGCACGTATCAAAGCACCGACAGTTAACTGGCGGAATCCGTCCTCGGAATATAGAAGAAAATTTTTCGGCTGCCCAAGTTAGAGGTTCCTTTGTCTATAGGACACTTTAATCCGACACTGTTCAACTTCAAAATTTGCGCAAAATGAAGAGAAGTTCTCGAAATATAGCCGCATCACTTCTTGTGCGCATGGCAACTAAATGAAATTAAAACCTTTTTATGATTTTAGAATTATGACTCGAGATAGCTGATTCCGCATTATGCGTGCCATTAGTGAGAGCGCAACACGCTTCAAACTTGGAAAAAAATTTCCAGATTTGTTCTTATATTTGCAGAGCGCTTCTGAGAAAGAGGTTGTGAGGTTTTTCTACCACAAAATTCAGCTCCGAGCAGGTATAAAATTAGGTGGGCTTTCTAGAGCCAAATTAAACTAGGATAAGTATCAATCTATAGCTAAGAGGTATCCTTTTATCAATATGACATTCATCAGTGCCTCATCTGATGTGAACGATTGACTTTCTGCTTCCTCAAGTTCATTTTTTGCTTCAAAAACGCTCTTAACTTTCTTCTCAAAAGGCTCTGCAGCTCAGATAATCGCTGGGGGCAGGCGGGCACCGGAAAAATAGATTGCTGATTTCTCGCACCCCGCTCGCGGATTTTTTGGAAAGCAATCAGGACTTTTCGGAAGACCGCTTGCTGAGTCAGCGGATTTTTGAGAGAACGCCTGTTGAATTTTTTTCACTTTTATCTTTTGCGGATATATTGCTGAATCTCTGAGGAATCGAGAATCAGCAAGCGGTCTTCCGAAAAGTCCTGATTGCTTTCCAAAAAATCCGCGAGCGGGGTGCGAGAGATCAGCAATCTATCTTTCCGTGCCCGCCTGCCCCCGGCGATTGTCTGAGAGGTAGTAAAGGCAGTTTTAAAATCATCGTTTTGAGCCTCACTGAAAATATGCATGTTGAACGGCCACTTCGAGTAAACATGCCTTGTTAGTACTGCGTCTCCTTTTCCATTCTCGACCGACCTTTTCGTCCGATAAAAAAAGTAGAATTAGAAAGCTTCGGTTATGGACTGAATGTGGAGCTCTGTGAGTTTGTATATGCAACCATTTCAGAAAATTTTGAAGGCTAAAACTCAACCGACATTAGTTCTTTCTATGTATATTACTGTGAATATCATGCTAGGAGATAATAAGAAATGCCGCGTCTTTACCACATTTATATCCATTTAGCAGTAAAACAAGCAAACAACCGGCACATAACATTTTAGGAATTTACAACTCAACCAGCGGATAACATTTCCAAATTAATACCGATTTCCTCCTAAACTTTTGCACTATTTGAAAGAGCATTTCTTCTAATTTCTTATATACTTTCGCCTCCGTAGATCTCTGTTCACTCCAAACTTTCAGACTTTCAAATAAGAGAGACTAAATTTTGGAAATCTTTTCTTCCACCCTTTTTGCCTTGAGTCCATGAAGAGCAGAATCGATTTCGAAAAAAAAACAGATGTGCTTAACGACTTAGAAGTCCTGTACAAAATGCTTATTAGCACAAACTCATCGAAAGATTCTGAGCTGAGAAATTTGAACGCAAACCATGGATGGTCGCTATAGCCCCTCCATCCAGGGTAAAAATTCTGAGCAAAAAGCGATTGCAAAACTTTCTTGGTATAAGGTGAGGCTAGACTTGGTCCATTTGATAGTTGGCAAACGGTAGGCTTTTCTCACTTTCCAGCGAAGAGAAAATAAACTCCAAAAGCAGTGTTTTGAAGCCAAGATGCCGGAAAAAATGAGTTTTTCTGACTTTTTGCGATATTTTCTTCACAAAGATTTCTGTGAAATCCCATGTTGGCACCACTGCTCAACCGTCCATCGGCTGTACAACGAGCAGAGTGTGCGCAATCCTACTTCATAACAGAGTAACTTATGATCTTTCAAGGTAGAGGTTTCCATAAAAACTTTTTGGCGATCTTAAGGCTAGAAATCCTTACTATAAGTGGCTATAGTCATATGAAAGTATGTGTTGTGTCGCCAAAGACTTGTGTGTACAGCAGCGTTTGATGCGCCCAGAAAATTCTTTTCGGAAAAAATTTATCGTGGTTCAAAGTTGAATTAAAGGAAGCGTGCATCAATCATGATTCAACCTAATATAAGCAACGACTAATATCAGTTTGTTCGGAAAATTATGTCGCATCATCGGCTACAACGATATGTCGCAACAGAGTAATAGGAATAAAAGTGAAAAGGGTACTGCTCTATAGAAGCAAGCTATACAAGATTACTTACTTACTTAGATACTTAGATGGCCCGGCTTCACGTGACGTGCGGGCCCCAGCTTAGAAGTTTCCATTTCTCCCTGTCCCTCGCTTAAGATATCCACGATCTTCTTGGCTGACGTCCGTGGCCGCGTCCACGAGTTCCAGGTGCAAAAATCGTATCCAGCTGATTTCTCAGTTGGTCCATCCGTTCCACGAACACGTCTGCCCATCCCGTTGGAGGTCTTCCTCGGGGACGTTTTGCATCGCGAGGAATCCACTTCGATGTTCTTAGTGTCCATCTGTCTTCTGCTCTTCTCATAACTGACCGGCCCATCGATGCTTCGCTTTCGCAACGTAATACGCTGGATCACGAAGACGGGACATTCTCCTCATATCCGCACTGCGAAGTCCGACCAGATGTTGTTTGTGTCGGGTCATCCTCAAGAGCAAGAGCTATACAAGCTTACTCTCAATTATTCACAACCCGTTTGATTTACGTTAGGTAAGCCAAATTTTGAGAGGCTCTTAGTGCTGGAAAATCTTCAAAAATCGCTTAAAAAGATTTTAGGGAACCCCAGCTTGCTCATGCACTCAATCTCCACATCAGACACCCGTGTGCCTAGGTATCGTCCCCTCCACAGGTCGTGCTACCCTTGTGGCGTGACCAACGTGACACGTGTGACTAACACATTGGCAACGTTGGCAGCAACCCGTTGGAACATGCAGCAACATGTTGGCGTGGCCAACATGTTCTGCCAACGTGTTGTGGCATGTTGCAAACATGTTGTTGCCACGTTGCCAACATGTTAGCCATACGTGGCAGGTCTGAGACGCAGACCAAGGGTAGCACGATCTGTGGAGGGGACTATATATGATTTTTCCTTGGCTGGAAAAAACGGAATTTGGCATGTTGCTGGCAAGCAATCCTAAGCTTCTCCCAGATAGGTGATCTTGTGATATAACCTTTAGAAGTAAAAACATGACATTTCAACTCAGTAAAAGGGCTACTTTTTACAAAATCAAATTTATCGCAAGAAATTTGAGAAACGTGACATATTCGCACTTTTGAGCCATTTTTGTTCATCGTATTCTAACCCATGGAAACATTCACAGGTTTTACATTTGAATTCTATTGTAAGGGTACATGCATATCAGTGGCGTACCGAGGGGCGGGGGGGGGGGGGGCGCGCGCCCCCTCCCCGAGAATGGGTCGCGAAATTTTTGAAAGCTACTTATATGGGTTATAAAAATGTGCAAGTGACTTGTTTATTTTTGTAAATAATTAAAAGAATTTTTGAAAATTTTTAAAAATTCAAGTTAGCCTTGTAAAAAATTTTTTTTCGGGGGCGTGGCTGATGCCACGCCCCCTTTCTCCGGATTTTAGGGGTCGGGGACCCGCAAAAATTTTGATAAGGACCCCAAAAAATTTTTCGGAGTGCGTGGCTGAGGCCACGCACCTTCATTAGAAAATTTTTTTTGTCGCCCCCCCCCCCCCGAGCCGAAATCCTGGGTACGCCACTGATGCATATGCAAGCTGAAGATCCCTAAGATTTTTATAGAAGAGAGTACGATTTTTAGGCACTTAAATTTTTTTATTCTTTTATTAGGTTGTCCGGAAATTAATGTCCGTTTTGAATTTCAACCGCAATAAGTCACAAATTTCTTATCTTATATATAAAGCTGAATGTCTGTTTGTCTGTCTGTCTGTCTGTCTGTCTGTATGTATGTATGTATGTATGTATGTACGTACGTACGTACGTTCCGAATAGAAAATTCCATTTCTGAACCGATCCGGACCAAACTTGGCACACATACACTTCGGGCCCCGGCGAGTGTCATAGGCTACTTTTCGTCATCGATCGATATCGAATTTATCGATTTTTTGCAAAATTTGAGCTACGGGGCTGGGAGTTGGCACAGGGGAGTAATCGAGCATGCTGATTACGAATATAATAATGACAGGGCCGGGCGGAGCCGGAAAAGTCAACTAGTTTCTGTATAAGCTGCAAGGTACCATTCGATAGAGCAAAGCAAGCCCTACAAGATGGTTATCTGGTTTTTGCAGGAGCTCTCATTATCTTCGACTTTCGAGCCAAAAACTAAAAAGATTCAGCTGCCTGAAAAATTGAGAAAAATCGTAACTCATTTCATAAAAATCCTGCAAAAATTCTAACTTGCTCACTAAACACTATTTAAATAAGACACACATATACGCCGTTGTTGTCTTTTTTCACCCATTAGAAATCAAGAAAACGGAAATTTTCATGCATTTGCCAAAGTGATGCTGTGCCTCCCACATGAGTACTCGTATACTACAAACCTGTAGAAGTACAAATGTAAATTTTCAGCCCTCTACAAGCTTTGGTGCTCGAGAAAATTGGATTCTGGCTTTGATTACCTGACTAGGAAACGCCATATTTGATATTTCTCGAGAACTAAAGCTTGTAGAGAGCTGAAAATTTAAATTTGTACTTCTATAAGTTTGTAGTATACGATTACTCATATAAAGACGGCACAGCATCACTTTGGCAAGTGCACGAAAATCTCCGTTTTCTCAAATTAAGTGGTGAAAAAGACATCAACAGCGTTTATAGATGTCTTATGTGGATAGTGTTTACGTGAACAAGTTAGAATTTTTGCAAGATTTTTATGAGCTGAGTTACGATTTCTCTCAATCTTTCAGGCAGCTGAATCTTTTTAGTTTTTGGCTCGAGAGTCGAAGATAATGTGAGCTCCTGCAAAAACCAGATAGCCATCTTGTAGAGCTTGCTTTGCTCTATCGAATGGTACCTTGCAAACTATTCAGAAATAAGAACTTTATGACTTACTGCGGTTGAAATTTAAAACGGACATTAATTTCCGGACAACCTAATACTTCGAACTCCAGATGGTATAGTCTATCTTGCAAATCTTGCTTTAGTCTATGAAGGGCCCATTTGACTTTTTTATACACATTTTTTTGTTTTTTCATCGATTTAAGATGCTTTTCGAGCTTTGATAATCAATTTACGAGCTCACAAGTTCTCGTCGGAAAAGGTTTCTTCATAGATTCTGCCTGAGCTGCGTTTGATTATAAATTTCTTTTTATTTTCTTTCGTTTTCATGTTTAATTTCGAAGCGCCTCACTGCCACTTCTCCTCTGAATTATTGCATAGTAACGGCTCATAGACCTATGGGTCTCTTAGATACGAATTTATTCACATTTTTGCATTTTGCTGTTCACCTACTTTTCCGGAGTTCTTTCACTTCACAATGTGGCAAACTATCAGAAGACCAACCTTACGGGAACGATCAAAATCGTACATAACAACAGGTGAGTAAGTATCAAAAAGCAAAATTGTCATTTGTTTCATCGCTGGTTTGCAGCGCTGTATGTTGCATTCTTTGTGTTTTGGATTGTTGGCGCGTTTTACTTCAAATTCAATGACTATAATACAGTCGGATCCTCAAAAGTGAGGGATCAGGTCATTGCCAACTACACAAAAATTCTCTACGAAAACCAGCAGGTGAGTCAGTTTTATCAAGGAGGTATCCTCTCTCAGAGAAGTTAAACAACTCAGACAGTCGAAGGGATACCTTCGGAGCAAAAATGGGAGGTCCACAGTTTGGTCAGCCTTGAAAATAGAAGAAATCGGCAAAGTAGGAAGATGCACACCCCCAAATTTTGAACGATTACGTAAAGCTTGTAGAGTGTGTGTAGACTTTCTCAGTAAGAGTATCCCATGAATAGATTTTTGATCTTAATAATGACTACTTATTGACGTAATATTATGGTGGAAAAGGTAGCAATCGAGAATGTATTTACTTCGGAGTGCAATCAGAACGCGAGTCAGGCTATCCGTTGAAGTGATTTTATTATTGACCATGCCAAAGGCGCAGGGCTCGGCATGAGGTGGCTTTTTCAATTTTTCAAAAACGAAGTCCCTGCGGACTTGGGCACAAAAATACGACATCTCGTATGACGTGGTCATGAATAAATAGAAACGAATAGCAAAAGGTAATGGAACAAAACATGAAAGCAACATCGAATAGACGAAAAAACTCAAGATATCGTTTTCTTCGAATTGGCGGCATGCTGTGTCCGGCGTGCACCCTTGTGCGCGCTTGGAGCAGGCTCGCCACCGCCATAAAAAATATTTGGAGGGCTGTAACTAAACGAGGAAGAGGTTGTTTAGGAAGATTCAAGAACTCAGTTGTAGGATTTTTGATGTAGAACATGGTTATGTTAAACAGGTGAGAAAATTATGTGAAGTAAGAAAAATGCATGACTTTTTCTTTTCATAGCCACCTCAGGTGGCTGTCCCTGTCCAGGTGGCCGGAAAGCCACCTAACTCCGAAAAAAGTTTGCCACGCCTCCATTTCACATAATTTTTTCATAATTTTTGATACAGAATCCTAACTCCCTATTGCCCATCTACACACCAATTTGGGTGTCATTTCATCTTCTCTTCTCTGTAAACAAGTCTTTTGTTTATTTCGGGCAGTTTGAATTCGCGCGCTTAACCGGCGAACATGTTGAAACAGAAAATTTTTGGTTTTTGCAGATCGAAAAGGCAGGAATGACAATTTGCTCTTCTGTAGAAGATGGTTGACGTAAAGGCAGAAAGCGATTGTGTGTGTGTGGGGGGGGGTTTAACGATACCCCCTTTGCTTTTTATTCCAAAACGATATCCAGCTGCCCACTATGCCACCTGTGCCGAGCCCTGCAAAGGCGGCTTCCAGAATCAGTCTTGCAGTCTAAGCTACAAAACCGTCACCACAAAACCGTCAGTCCAAGTAACAAAACCGTCACTCATCAGGGAGTTTGGATATGGGGCTCCGGAACAAAAACAGCAGGTCTCGTTGGGCTTCTTTCCGCAAGACTTTCTCGTGGAAGTTTTTTTCATCAAAAAAGAACAACGCCGGTGGACATGAATCGCCCAACACAACTCACACTCTTTCCACCAAAGGCGGAGCTTGCCGATGTTTTAGTAGCTCCATCCTTCTACACTAATTCCGATCACCGCTTCCCTTAATCGAAGGTGCGATCCTTTCGAAAGCTCGAAAAAAAGGTCCGCCACAGTGCCGCAAGAAGGAATGAAATCGTTCATAACCGTGACAGCATGGAGGAGCATAAACGGCTGTGACGGCCTATCGAAGAGGACTTAACGTACAATCACGACCAGCTCGTGGAAGGATTACCTGCGAAGGGTGCGCCTCATTGTTTTCTGAGAAGAACTTGAAATGTATTACCAAAGGATTGCTTAGAAGAAGCAGAGCCTTGAGGCATGATCAGAATGCAACTAACTTCGAGCGATTGATAGTCACGGGAGTTGCATAACAGCAGGAGGATCTTCAGAAGTGAAAAGAAGCGAAGGTACTGGAAGCAGCTGAAGGAAGACGAAGTTTCAAGAAGCGGCGAAGGGAACTCTCTGAGAATACCCGCTGGCAGCACTACCGAATGAAGACGGAAATCCAATTTCTTCCCAATGGGATAAAATCTATCGCGAGGAACTTGACACTAACCTCTTCAGCTTATCAACACCATTGCCGATGCCCGTTGTTTCCGCTGGAGAAGTACCACCACAGATTCTATCTGCTAAAGTGTGCACCGTAATTCACGTCATAAAGGCATCCACGGCCTCGGAAACAGATTGCCTTTCTGTCAAGTCTTTGCGAGCGTCACCGTCGCGAAAAGGTTCTAATGCCGATCTGACATCCTACTTTCTGAAGGAAAGATATCCGACTAGTGGAAAATTTAAAGAACATTTTGAGAAGCGTGAACGGGAGGATCTACGAAACTACCGTACAATATGCCTGCTAAATGTGCTGCACAATCGTTTTACGAAGATTGTTCTCGCTCGCATATCTAGAGCATTGAATGAATGGAGCCCCACCCCAAGAAAAAGGGGAAACGGAACTTACCTACCCGAGATATTCTCGCACCTCATGGGTGTGTGTCTGCGGGGTATAATTAGGCATAGCGAGCTCGCTGCTTCCAGATTCTCCTTAGGATACAGCGCTAAGCTAAGCCCCGCCCACACACCGCACCTTTTTGGCATAGAACCAAGACATGCCCGAAAACCTGGCAACAAATGGAGACATCGAGGCTGGTTCAGCGCCTGAATGTGCTGGAAGAGGGCTGCGAGGCTCAAAATGGAGGTAATGGAAAGAAAAAAAAGACGGCTGTAATCAGGAGGATAAGGCAGATCTGAATATGAAAGTCCGAGTTAGAAATTCTCAATTTTATGCAAAAAAATTCATAAACTTAAGAGTATGAAATCATTATCATTGAGGTTACATCCTCAGGACATGCTGTTCTCACTAGAATAATGGGTCATTCTTCTAACGTTTCGAGAGAGACAGTGAAAAAGCAGTTTTACATGCGTTATTATGCGTGCTTTATTTTTTGTCAAAATTTCTTAAGCTAAAAGTCAGTTCACCAAAGCAAAATTTCGGCTCTTATAAGAAAAGACAGCGCAAAACCAATAGTATATTATGAAAGAGCGCCTCAGAAAACCTCTAGATTCGTATATTAATCAAAATCGAGCAGATAGTTGCTGAGCATAAATTTTGTGATTCTATTGAATTCCCGGTTTCATGATTGAAGGATGCATCTCGAAAGAGTCGATGGATGAAGGCGGGGCTTAGAATACACACAGACTAGGTTCTGTACACTATGCTAATTGCGTACCTGATTGCTCATGATACCTAAGGTACGCCGCGGCAAGTCTTTCGGGTAGGTAAGTTCCCGCACCCAAGAAAAAGCTGTATTTTGCAAAGAATATAGCTGCATAGACCACATTCAGACTGCTTTAAAGGTCGTAGGAGTCGGACGGGAGTATCACCTGCCTCTCGTCCTCACCTTCGCCTATTACGGAAAGCCTTTGACAGCGTCGAAACCAGCCATCGTGTCTGCATTAGTCAATCAAGGAATGGACCCAGCTTCCGTGGGAACATTGGCTGACTGCTATAAGAACTGTGCAACGACAATACAATTATCCCATACCGTTTGGGAAGGGAACCGACAAGGCGACACTATCTCGCTAAAGCTGTTCACCGCCGCCTTGCCATGGGTGATGAAGTCACTGGAGTGGGACTAGAGAGGATGCGGATTAATAGAGATTCCTCTCAGAACATCGTTTCGCGGAAGACATCGTCCTCTTTTCGAGGAGCATACTGAAGCAGAAACGAATGAAGGAACTAAACGAAGCATGAAAAAAGATCGGGTTGCGAAGGAATCGGAGGAAGACTCCGTCAGTAAAGCAGCCCTTTGCGAAGATGCGGAAGTAAAATCGGAAAGCACCCCCCCCCCACGCAAACGTCTTCTTAAATTTTGGATGCTCGATGAACATGGAGGACGATTTGGGGAAAGAACTCAGCAGGAGAAGCAAAGCATCTGGGCGACGTTCGAGCCTTCGAAGGAAGCCACACACCAAGTGACGAACCCAGTTTGCTCCCACTTGACTCAACCGCTCCTCCGGCGCTCTGTTACGCAGCCGAAACAAGGACCGATACTGTAGCCACATCCAAATTTTATGGATCAACACAGAGTGCTTCAAGGCATTTCGTGGGATTTTGACACAGTGCGGGAGCAAGGCTCCTGACTAGTCAAATGTCCGATCAAAGTGAGTTTAAAACGAGAAAATCATTTCGAAAGAAAGTCAGAAAAGGGTAGGTACGCTAATCCGCTAATCTCGCCTCCTTGACAAGTTTTGACGTGGTGAGTGCTGCAAATCTAATGTGTTAACCACGTCAAGACTTGTAAAGAAGGCGGAATTAGCGTACCGCCCCTTTTCTCCGTTTATTTCCTTAGCGATTTTCTCGCTTCACAACCCACCTTTTCTGATCGGACTTGAACTGTTGCATTAGTCAGGAGCCGTGCCCCAGGCGTGCCCCCTGATACAAGCGAAGTCCTCCGAGTGTAGGAGATTTGACACTGCACCTCGACTTTTGCAAGAAGTGTATAGGAGATTTCATACAATTTTGGCTGTACTAGTATATAAAGCCCTTTCTATGGAAGAATACTCCAACAATCTTTATCCCGAATATCACACAAACGGCCCTGCGAATTCATGTAACCATATTTTCTTGACTTTTCTAAAATCACACAGCGTTGCGCCTTTTGTCCGCTTCGCGAGCGATCAGCAACTGCTCGTGAACTTTCTTGGCTCGTAGGCGCAAATCCTAAAAATTTCGTGACATTCGAGCTCATGGAAACAATCCCAAGCAGGAACTGACAGCAACGGTGGCTTCGTGGTCGTTGAACTTTTGCTGAATCTGGCTAAGATTCTGTCCTGCTCTGTCTAATTCAACTTCAAGTTTCTTGACTTCATTCACGGCATCAACCATACGTTGTGTATTGATTTGCTTCAGTTCTAAAATTGAAAATTCACACCGCACAGGCTCGCGCTTATTCTTCCTTTCCCAGCTCACCAGCTGCCTTCTTTATCTCTTCAGTGAGTTCCTTGATCCTTGGAGCATATTGACCATGATCTTCATCCTTTATCGAAGATTTGGAAAGTGCAGACGATGAGGCACTGCTGACTATAAACGAAACATTGGAGTAATTTGCATTGAAGGATCCAAATCCTACAGATATGCGAGTCATACATAGAAAAAGCAGTTCAAAAACTAATGGCTTTTTCTAAGATTCCACACGGTTTTTGTTCAAGCTCGTTAACCCAAAGTACTCCAGAATTACTTCATTCTCATCAAAAAACTACCTGAATTGGTATCAACGGTCGACTTCGAGGATGTGCTTGAAGCACTTGATGTCACTGAAACATTTCACATCACTCTTAAAGTTTACACAATTTTATATGTACTGGATCTCACTCTCCTATCAACATAAACTTATAATGCTGGTGAAAAGGAATTTCTTGAAAATTAGTAAACCCTGTCAAGATAACCTTCACTGATTCCGGAGGTTGCGAAGCAGCTTTTGCAAGTTCGTCCCACTACCGGATCCCATTCAAATCCGGCTTGCTAAACCGCAGGAAAGATTGGCTGGCCCTCAGAGGTTATTTGCAAGGATCAAATCCATTTCAGAACTATTGCCTTGAGCATTCAGCAGCGGTTGACTAGGTCTGGGATCCACATCGGATCTGGATCACGGTCGACTATAGCCGTAGCACAAAGTAAGTTTTCGATGTCACGCAATGCGCACTTTATAGAACCCACAACTGATACGAGTATTAGCTCCAGATTTTATATTTGAAGCAAACGCGATATATACAGGGCAAAACTGAGAACTTTACCCAAGCCAAAGCGATATTCGGCTCCATTCAGCATCTTGGTGACACCATTGCTCTTGACAATGGCGACCTCTCCTTCTATATCATCTGCGTCAAATCCGCCATTGCACTGCGGGGTTTTGGCCATCAGCGTCCCAAGAGCGTTACCCATCACTCAGTTAAGAGAAATTACGACCGTCAGAGAGAAGATCGTCTTAGAAATGGGAATCACCACAAATCATTTTGGCTCTTCTCGAAGCTAATGCGTCTTATCGTTAGCATAATTGTCTTGCGAATGCCCGCGTGTTACGGATTGAAGAGAAAGGAATGAAGAATGATTGTCTTTATCAGCTTTTTACGACGTCTTGATTCTATCGGAGGGAAAATAATAGGTCAAGACAGGAGAGGACTCTTTTGCACCAATGTGAGCTACATAACCGCATAAATTTTAAGGTTGTCTCGAAGCGAAAGTTGGTCTTAATATACCCAGGATACGTAACCCGCTAATAATCTTTTCAACCAGGCAGAAGGATTACGGTTGTGTACGGGTGCTTCACTGCAAAAAGAGCCGTAGCTAAGAACAGATCTTGACCAAACCTGGTGTTGGGCGCCTGTAAGAAAAGACCGATAAGCAATTGTACTACGGCAAGAACACGTACATGGTTCCGATCTTGGTATTTTGGACGAGTTTTGCTTCTGCCGCAGACATATCTGTCCAAGTCAACTAGAATTACAGCTCCGATAAGGTGTACCCATTAAAAAGTTCAGTTCCTCACTTTTCGGTTATTCTCTTCCATTCTTGCTGGTTTTACTTGAACGACAAAAGCATGACGGCGATGATATTTCGCTCCATTGAGAAGAGTCACTTGCACCTGAGTAAAACTTTGATATTTCATGGCCTCTTCATCATCATATCTGCTCTTACAGCAATTCGCTCCTGTTTGAAGAGAAATCCTTTGTTTGGCGAGACGACATAGCGAGTGGGGGCGTTCGAGAGTACTCGCCAAGCAATCCGATCGTTAGAGGCATTTCTGGAACATTTTCTTTAGCTTTAGAGGTGTTCTGACAAAAAGTGTTACTAGCTTACGTAATATTCAAGGATTTTTGGCATTGAGCATTTGGAGCGCCGTCGAAAACCAAAACTAACGGATTCACGTTGATCAGACGAAGCGGTGCAGGTGTCGTAATCGGCTGCTGTTGTAAAAAAGGAGGCACATCGTGTTCTGGAATATGCCCATGTCGCTAGAGTGTACGAGTTTTGGACACTTAAGGCAAGCAGACAGAGTTGCTTCCAATTGAAATAGCATAGTTCGGAAGTGGCAGCAGACGGTAAGAGAATGAAAGTGCGCTCGGCAAAAGAGACGCCGACAGCGTTTGCACTCTGTCTCCAGCGCGACAACTCGTCTAGAATTCTGTCTCCAAACTCACGAGTATGTTGACCATCCGGGTCTTTGACGTCTTCAAGCTTTTTCATATGCGGTGTTGGTGTTGCTGTCCTTGACATTACACCTGATGATGACAAGACTTTCATCAATGATGATGAAACGCTGCAGTCCTTAGAGAGAATACTCACGCGAGATCACCGCACAGCACAACGTTCACAAATACATGACACTCACGTCTTGAATGAAGAGAAACTTTGATAGTGGTTGTTTTCAGAAACAGAATGATAACACGCTTCAATCTTGCAGCGACTGGAGATAGAGGTTTGGTCGTCCTAAGCTATTTTCATTGGCTAAATCTTGTGCAAAACACTGAAGATTTCTGCATGGAGGACTTTCTAGTTACTAGTGAACCAGTAATCTAAAGGTGCTATTTGGAAGAGCGTTCGCCGCGCGGTTTCCCGCTATTTGCACATTTTTGAATTGAGTTAACGATTCTTTATGTACTAGATTAAATAGATAGATATGCAATACTCGACTAGCAAGACTTGGACAAAACTGAAAGACGTAAATATATGAAAAAGATTGCAGGATGGATTTGTAAATAAACGACAATATTGGAGACATTCTGAGGCTTTTGTAGCTTGCAGTCTCTATACATGAGACGACAACTTTGAATGGCTGGAATTCGAAATAGTAAAAACAACTGTAGTAACTAAGGCCATCACTTTATTTCCCACAATTCTTTATTCTGCTTCCACCCTCTACCACCGATCATGACCCATGCGTCATCTCTGCTTCACAGAAGCTCGCACTGGTTTTATATCGTATTTCTCTTGCCCTCATAGGGGTGAAACTGCTTTGGAACTTACACGGTAAAGTTGGCCATGATGGGTGGAATGTGACCTACTCACCATGCTGGAAGCATCGCCGTAAGATTCTGACTTTAGCAAAAGTTGAGTAATTCAAGTCGGTTTCTGAATAGGTTATAAACTGGAAAAATTAAAAGTCAGCAGGTTTCCATGTGCTCTCTTCTTTAAACCTGGGCATTTGGTTCTTTGTTAATAATATTGTGCCGAACAGGTTTTTATGGTGGATCTTTATTGCCTAACGTTTCGACAAATATCGTCTTCGTCGGAGGCCTGAAAGGGATTGCAGTTTTGTATTTGTCTGTCTATACGACCAAACGCCTCCTCAAACTTGCGCGCCCAGACCTCGTCCAGAGTCAACGCACTGGGGTACAATCCGAAGTAATAGTCACCAACCTTCGATCCACCGCTGAGTTAGTCAGCCCGCACGACTGTGACGGACATCACTGAGGATCGCCCAGTGTGTCAAAGATATATATAGTCTGCGGCTATAGTCGACATAATGATACGAAAGGCAGAAGGTCACTTGTCATTGTCAAGCATTCATTTTTATTGTTCATCCCCGGATTTCTGGCGGATATCCACGCTGCCTCCTGCTATCCTGATATCCTGCTGAGCAAAGCGTGCATACTGACCCTCATCAAAGAATGTTTGAACTGTAACATCTTTAGGTGGTCTGGGAATTACTATTCCCAGATTAGAGGACTAGCGATGGGTCAAAGGCTCGCGCCTGTCTTGGCGATTTGTTTTATGAGTAAGATCGAGGAGCCAGTATTAGCACGCTTGCCATCAATGTACTGCCGCTATATCGATGACTGCTTCATTGTCACCTCAACACAATCCGAAATGGATGAGTGTTTTAGAATTCTAAATGAGCAGTCGCAGTACATAGAATTTACACGAGAAACTCCGAACAGTGGCTGGCTTTCTTTTCTGAATACTCAGATATGTTTGTCCAATGGTGCTGTTCGAATCAAGTGGTACAGAAAAGAAAGCTCGAAAAACATCCTTGTCCACGCCATGTCAGCACACCCTACAGCTCTAAAGCATTCTGTCATCCGCAATATGTACAGAAAACCGCTGCAGAAGTCTGTACGGGCGAAAACGAACGATTGGAGTCACAGCAACTAGCATTCGAAATTGCTCGCAGCAATGGATACGTAGTTACGCGGTCACGACAAAGATTTTCGGAATACGTAGACAAATGTTTGCGAAGCAATGACAACAGAACCCCCCTTTGCATGCCTTTTGTGTCCGATAGTTTTAGCAAGGCTATCAAACGATGCATAGCACGAGCGCAGTTGGACGATAAAGTAATGCTGGTCAACATTCCTAGCAATAACATCAAAAAGCGGTTGATCAGAAATAGATTGTATGATACAGAATGCCTAACGGACAGCTGCACCGTTTGCCCATACGGAAGCTTAGGCGACTGCGCAAAGGAAGGCACTGTTTACCAATTAGAATGCTTACGCTGTGGAGCGACGTATATAGGGGAGACAGGAAGAAAGCTAAGTATTAGAGTCAAAGAACATTTGGCCGGCAAAAAGCGAGGGACAATGTCATCGACGTTGGGAAAACATAGAGCCGACGCACATAAAGGTGACGATTTTAATGTAAAATGCACGATACTAGCATATGAGACCGAGATCTCGGCACGAAAGACCTTGGAGGCAGCGTGGATATCCGCCAGAAATCCGGGGATGAACAATAAAAATGAATGCTTGACGATGACAAGTGACCTTCTGCCTTTCGTATCATTATGTCGACTATAGCCGCAGACTATATATATCTTTGACACACTAGGCGATCCTCAGTGATGTCCGTCACAGTCGTGCGGGCTGACTAACTCAGCGGTGGATCGAAGGTTGGTGACTATTACTTCGGATTGTACCCCAGTGCGTTGACTCTGGACGAGGTCTGGGCGCGCAAGTTTGAGGAGGCGTTTGGTCGTATAGACAGACAAATACAAAACTGCAATCCCTTTCAGGCCTCCGACGAAGACGATATTTGTCGAAACGTTAGGCAATAAAGATCCACCATAAAAACCTGTTCGGCACAATATTACTAACAAAGAGTCAGCAGGTTGTCATTTTTATAGGATGTCATATTTATGATTGATTCAAACCTGCAAGCCATATTTCAGCAAAAATGTACTCAAAAGAACTACTTCTCTAGCTCTTCTGAAAACATTGATTGACGTATTTCACATCCTCAAACAGGACTTTCCCTATTCTTTAGGTTGGACCTTGAGAAAAACAATGGTCTTGATAACTGGCGCCGCTTGTCCAAAGGTTGATGATTACATTTTTATTAAAACTATGGCTTGCAAATTCCGAAGTTGAGTAATAAATATGAGTTTGCTGAAAAATTAAGGCCCGCCAACTTCTGCTGGCTAAAATAAATGAGGATCCGTTTGATGTGCGATTTTTCAAAAAATAACAATTCCGCTTGCTTTTTTATATCTATAAGTAAGCGACTGCGCCCACAAAATGATTTGGAAGCTTGGCTAGGCTTTGCTCTACAATTTTCTTAACGAACTAACACACATAGAAACACATGAGCGAACCTTAGTTCAACAATAGAAGTCATGATACTCATTCTTCTATGTTGTTTTTCAACATCTTGTCTTTTCAGAACATTAGCGTCCATGAACTTCTACTTTCAATTGATGCAACGATGAGGGAGCAATCTAAACCCGTGAAAATTAGCCGTTTCAGCACAATCTCAACGCTTGCAATGATTCTCGGAATAAGTAAGGCGTTTATCTTCCATAAATATGATAGTTACACAAAAAGAGAAGATCGGCTATCTCAACAAAGAGAATATCGGTTTGCCTTCAAAAATCCTGTTACATTGCTAAAACAGTGTTGAATTGCGCTTTCTAGATAGGCAAGTCTAGGCAGTTGATAAAGAGTTTTGATGGTGACCTATACTGTGATGTAATTCCTTTGAAGACGAGATTGGTAAAGTGGTGCAAAATGGGAATTTGACAAAAGTGAGATGTAAAAGATAAAGAACTCGGCGTCTTCAATACCCTCTGCGGGAATGCGCCGAACGCACACTACTTCGTAGTCGAAGAGGCAGTTGTATGCGTGCAAGTCTATTACGGTCACTTACGGGGGCCAACCGATTATCAGCTCAGTATTTTTATCCTCCCAGAGTACTCTGGTACCAAGTTACCAGTCCCGGAGGGTAGAGGGCTTGGTTGGCTCAGGGGCGGTGTCGAACCTGGGTTTGATCTGGTCTGGTCACTCGCTCCCTTAATTGAGATAAATCATAACCACTTCAGAAGAGGATTTGGCAGTTGAGGCCACACTTGGTGTTAATGCTTTCTTCTTTGCCGCTAATGTAGTGGTATCGTTTATTGCAATCTGCATGTGTTACTACTTCGACGGAAAAATCAATGAGCAATTCGGTAAGGTGATATTTATGCTAATAAGAAATCTTAATAACCGTATGAAATGATTTTAGACAAAGAGTGGACAATGTCTACCTGCCCTCCACGAGATATTGTGTTGGAATTCAAAGAAAAAATTGCTAAGCAAGGAGAACAAGAAACAATCCGAGTGGTGCGTGCGCATAATTTCTAATAGTGTGTGCCTCAAATGCTATTATATCATAGTGCTCTCTGCCGAATCCTCCACCAAACTGTCCAGAAAGAACAGCTTTTCTGACCCCGGTGCGCTATCCACGCCCTGGTCTGCAATTGCTGCTACTGTTTATTATCTTCTCGACTGTAATGGCGATGTTTCTGTCGCTCGCCAAGAATACGATGTTTGCTGAAGAATTCTTTGCCATTCTGAACTACTGTTCAGCCGTTTGTAAGTAACTTTATTCCTCGATACGCTCAATTTTCTCTCAGATAGCTACGGTATGACCCATGTAAGCGTATCGCTCGAGCTTCCCTTTCTAAATTGTTAGGTGTAATGCCTAAGACATCTCGAGATTGCCCCAATCGCTGAGTTTAGGCGACTTGGTGATTTACCAGCTTCTAAAGATTCACCGTCTACGGTTTTCATATGCATAAATGTCTAGTTTTTTTTACTGTTCGTAGAGATATCCCTACGAATAAGAAACTAAAAAGAAAAGAATAGTCAATACAACAGCAACATAAAGTGCTACTGGGATTTTAGGTAGCCTCTCAAGGCCAAATCAAACAATATAAGTTTAGCCACCAATATTTTTTCTTAAAAGAATGTTTACATTATAGACAACTTGTCACCCGAAGAAGTGTCCCCTCACGTTAGCCTAGCCTTTGGTAATACGAGTTTTCTAGATCCGCCTCTAGTGTTAGATTAGATCAGATGCAAAAAAAAGATCTCTCAAGTTTGCTGTTCCAAATATTGTACGGGCACCTGTTTTTGAAGCGCATTGTGTGAATTGTAGTTCATGAAGGGCTCTATCGTCTCATGCACTCAGATCATTTTTTATTGTTATTTTCCAAATGATTGATGAACGAGGAGGGCGGCTTGTCTGCAACTTTCTGCTTTCACCATGCTTCTTCAAGTAGGTTGTATTTCAGCCCCGTTCAAATTCGAAGGCTACGTTTGGGAATATCCTGTGTGGTTTCTCATTCTTTGTGGATTGGTAAGTTTATCGACTGATTAAATAAGTAGTGCAACGGCGAATAGCATTCAAGCTTCAGAATAAACTTACGATAACATTAGCAGAAATCATGCCTTACTCAAGATAGGCATTGTTTCTGACATTGTCAAACAAATGAACTTTGCTTTTAATATTTAGCCGCATGACAATTTTATTTGTTTCTATCGAAAGTAAAATCGAGTCAAGCGCAGCGCTCTTCCCAAAATTGTATGATAATAGCGAGCACTTACCATCACTTCGAATAGATTCAAGCAAAACAGTACAAAATTATGCAGAATTCGTATAATTCGTTGTAACAAGCGGGGTAGGGGAATGAAAGCTGCCAGTTTGGGCAGCCTCCGCGGACTACTGGTCCTGGAACATGCAACAACACTGCAAGGACCAGTTGGCCGCGAAAGGCGGCTCAATCTGGCGGCCTTCGTTCCCCAACCCTAATAAGCGTAATGGTTGCTACCTACCTTACCTGTGCTACAAAATGCTTATCGAATTGCAATTCAAAGTTATCACTAACAAATGTAGAGAGACTAGTCGTCTTACCGTGCATATAGTATGCTTGGAATTTAATAAGAGCTTTTATTCGGTACAGCGAAAATGTTCACTGTCAAAAGCAGCTCTCACGCAGAGAAAAATGTGGGAATACCAAAGCATTTTTTGCCTCCTTGAATCAAGCGGCCGTCTTCAAATATGCAATGTTTTTCTTTTGGCAAGGAAAAAACTTGGCGGCGGCCAAGTTTAGTACTTACTGTTCAGCCTATACAGAATGACTGTGATGATTGTGCTTTGACCCTTTTAACAATTTTCTCTCCAAGCTATGCTTACTCAATTAAAGAACCCCAAAAAAAATTGGAAATTCTATGCTAAAATTTCTTTTGGATGTCAAAGTATTGGCGTAGGTGTGTCACTGCCGGTTTGTTGATATTTTAGGCTAATTACTTCAAAATGCTCAAACAAACTAACCAACTTGCATGATAGGCTCTTTGTTACGCATACCAAAAGCAGTGTTTTATAGTGCATTTTAGAAAATCGATATGAATCAAAATCGAAAAGTCAATTGAAAAAAATCGAAATACGCAAATATTCGCAAAGAAATCCAATAACTACCAACTTGATTACGAAAACGTGTCATAAACCTTAGACAAAAATTAAATTCAAATTCTAGAAGACGTTATAGCAATTTTAGTGACCAAAAATCGAAAATTCACTTTATGGAATTTCTTTTTTCACCTTGTATTGTTGCCATATGCCCCAAAGAATTTTGGCTCGAGCGGCTTCAAAACCGAAAAATTTGCTCTTTCTCTCTCTACTTTGTATCAAACCAGGAGATTCAACGAAGTGGAAAAAGTAACCAAAAATTTGGTAAAAGACTACCATCAACCTAATGTAAAGCTCACACAGCAATCAATGAAAAGAATCACGGCAACTCACATTGAGTGACAAAACGGTCAGAACTCATGAATCAAACACATACATGCATTATGTCTGCATGCTCATCAACGGCCAACTTCGATAACCTCGAAGCTGTGCAATTTTTTTTCATATCATGTCGAATAAGCCGCTAGACTTTCAGGGTGTTTCGTTTTCTACCATTTTTACCTTCTCCCACGACAACGCATGTTTTTGTTTTGTTTATAGGTCATAAAATATGTTTCAGATTCTCTACCACTACACAGTTTATGGCCTCACACTGATACTCATTGAGATCGTCTTCGCTGTGCTTGGAGTGCAAGAGCGTATAACTCCGGTATTAGTAGACTAGCTTCCAGGCGTGTCTGTTTAATGCAGACAAGGATTAGACATTTGGGATACCTTATAGTCGAACGTTAGAGATGCGCGCAGATTTTAGAGGAGAACACATCAAATTTTCCTTATTTTGAATCCTGCTTCTTCTGTTATAATTTTCCCGTCTCATAGCAAAGTAATAAACTCGACTGAGCTTCATAGTTGTTGTTATGACGTTCGAACGAACTGATTTATCGAAAGCAGTGCTCAAGGACTGCTATTGTATGCCTTTAAAATTAATATTTTTACTTGCAGAAATTATTTTTGTGCTCGAACTATGACGTGTGGCAGATAAAGCAAAGGGTAGGCCGGCTTCATGTCGTTTCCTGAACCCTCGATTTGTAATCAAGTTATTTTGGGTAGCGGTCAAGAATAACGATAGCTCTGCCAGCCGCATTCATGAATCGGAAAAAAATGTCTAAAATATCATTTCTTTACATTGAAGTTTGTTTCCTACATTAATCACTGAAGCTTACATAAGTCACATGCTGAATTGTGCATAAAACATTTCAATGGCGAATTTATGGCGATGTGATTTCTGATCATTTCCATCCTTAGAAAATAGCAGGCCTTAATATAAAGTTTACATGAGGAAGAGCAACGCTTCGGACATTTTCTGCTACAAAATGTGGTGTCCGCGTAAACCCGTAACTGTTTGGGAGGTGCTACTTGTATACCGTTTATTGACACCCGGATGCCTAGGGTGCCACTATTGCCAGCTATCGTTATTCTTGACATATACCCAGTTATTTTGGTAGCCTTGAAATTTCTTCGGTAGGCCACCAATACAGTGCTGGCCAAAAGTTTGCAGCCACTCTGACATTTCGCTATATCTTACACTGTTTCGCATAAAACGGATCCAATTCCTGCTATTACATGCAAGTCACACTGCTTAATACTGTGTCACATTTCGCAGTTTCATGCACACAGAAAGGGCCTCTGAGGACAATGGCGAAAAAGGAGTTGGTCAAAACTTGCAGCCACTTTCTGCTAACGTCTTTGGAGAACGTGCCACATTCCAGCAGCTGGGCTACAGATGCACCTCTAAGCCATAGATATGCAGTGCAGCCAGCATTCGGTAAACTTCCAAAAAGGAGACTTTACGGAGCAAATTTTCGTGAGCGCCAAATGACCACGAAAATTGGACAATTTATAAGGTTGTCAAGAGATAATCGGCTGATGCGTGCTCCTATGGAAACGCAGTACCATTTAAACGTTTAGTGACTTTGCGAATGTAGAACAAAAAGAACTACTTGGCATGCTTCAAATATACCATCCTCTTAAAGCCGTCCACCCAAAATCTCGAATTAAATTTTGTCGCCTTCAGGCCTTCTGAATGCTCTTATTCCAAATATGGAGTCGAAAATCCGCGAAACCACTAAAAATTCCTGTTTTGAGAACCCTCTGCAACAAGCGCAGGCGAGATAAAGCATGCAAGTGGGCGGAGCGACCATGGTCGCCCCGCCTACTTTGCTATTTCCGGAGCGGCTTTCTCGCTCCAAAAGCAGTCTTTTGCGGCGAAGCTTGGGGGTTTGCCTAGTGTGAGGGCCCACACTCGTATGCCACCATAATCTCGCCAACCTTCATTTTGGGTGGACGGTGCCTTTAAAGGCAGCGTCCAGGCAGATCTGGACCTATGGGGCTTTTACGTGGAAAGTATCTTTGGGGCCCTAACTAAGGCACTGTCCAAGCGGCAGCTCAGGTAGTGCTGTAATGGCTGAGATATTTCCCTCGAAACTGGACCCCGCGACCGTGTTTCGCATGGATTCATGGCGCAAAGCGTGGATCCTGGCGCGAAACTGCCATGAATCCATGCGAATACGTTCGCGGGGGCCAGTTTCGAGGGAAATATCTCAGCCATTAGAGCACTACCTGAGCTGCCGCTTGGGCAGTGCCTTAGTTATGGCCCCAAAAGTACTTTCCACGTAAAAGCCCCATAGGTTCAGATCTGCCTGGACGCTGCCTTTAACTTAGATTCGGCGCACCTTTCAGCTCAGAAATTGGGCTTAGCGGCCCAGAGGGTTCTTCAACTTCATGAAAACACTGCTCTTACAAAAACGAGCACTGGTCCAGAGTTTAGAGAGCTTCACTGGAGGCATAGACGCGCTACTGCCAGAGAATTTTACGTTTATCACGTCTATCAAATGTTCGATTTGCCCAAGGAAACTATCAGTTGTAAAGATTGCGCAAACTTTCCCGTAGCTGTAGCGCCATTATGTTCCTAATGGAGCTCTGCCAGCTTCGGATCAGTGCTCTTCTTTGTAAAAGCAGTGTTTTCATAAAGTCGAAGAACTCTCTAGAGCGCTGAGCCCCATTTTTAAGCTGAAAGGTGCGCCGAATCTGAGTTAAGGGGATGGTAGATTTGAAAGCATGCCAAGTAGTTCTTTTTGTTCTACATTCGCGAACCGCCACTAAACTTCCAGATGGTACTGCGTTTCCATAGGAGCACGCATTAGCCGATTATTTCTCGACAACCTTATAAATTGTCCAATTTGGTGGTCATTGCGCTCAAGAAAATTTGCTCCGTAAAGTCTCCTTTTTGGAAGATTACCGAATGCTGGCTGCACTGCATATCTCATGGCTTAGAGGTGCATCTGTAGTCCAGCTGCTGGAAGGTGGCACGTTCTCCAAAGACGTGTAGCAGAAAGTGGCTGCAAGTTTTGACCAACTCCTTTTTCGCCATTGTCCTCAGAGGCCCTTTCTGTGTGCATGAAGCTGCGAAATGTGATACAGTTTTAAGCAGTGTGACTTGCATGTAATAGCAGGAATTGGATCCGTTTTATGCGACACAGAGTAAGATATAGCGAAATGTCAGAGTGGTTGCAAACTTTTGCCGGCACCTGTATCAAGTAGATCTCACAATTCTACCTCCTGAGTTTGGCGATTTTTTAGCATACATTCACTACTGAGTGTTCCAAGGTGTACATAGCTACACTGTTTGCATTATGACCTCCTCGCTATAACATATTAGGCCGTTTCAAGAGTTTATAGCTTTTCGTTTTCATTCTCATTTCTTTGAGGAGCAGTCGGTTTATAAAAGTCTCTGGATGTGTGCTTTCAAAGAAGCTGATCAGGTCAGGTAAACTCATCAGTTTAGAAGCCGATATACTCCGCTTTCTCAGCTCCCATACATGGATTTCTAAAAAGGCAGAGAGCATTTTCGGCACATGGTGGTCGTTGCTCATAGAAGCGGAGCAAAAAATGGAGCATGTCAACATAAAAGCTGATACTAATCAAAGTTGGAATTACACAAAAGGATGAAAAATTCAGTGCGTTAAAATAACTCTCAACAATCGGACAGTGTGTACGTATTGGGGACAATATGCGGCCCATCAACACATGGATCACCATCATGTAGAGTCGGAGCAAGTGTATTATATTAGCTAAAAATTTTCGCTTCTAGCGATTTGAAAGATATTACGTATTAGACTGCTGCGTAAGTTCCATTCAGTTTGAATTTTTTGAGTTCAAAATGTCATATCTTCTTTCACAGTCAACTCTTCTTTCCAAGAACTTCCATCTTTGAGCAGTTCCTTGGCTATCAGATACATACTGAGACCTGCGAAAACCCTTGTTAAGGAAAAAGCAAGAACTCAAAAACTAAACAGCGTTTCTCTTCAAACCTGTCTTCTTTGACGTTGCAATGCTCCCTTATGAGAATTGATAGGCATCTTATCCAACAATGAATAGATAGAGAAATTTTCATAGATTATTTTGCATCATAAAAGATCCTCTAGGGTCTGTTTTGCCAAAAGATTTTTTTGACCGAGCAAAAAAAGCCACTTTTTGACCTTGCTTCAGCGCATGTGTGCATGCCTGTTTACGAATTATAGGCATTTTACAAATGACGTGAGCGCCGGAAAGGAATTGGCAGATGGGCCCTGCTAGCTCTTGCTTTACTCTAGCACCTTCAACTTCAAACTCATCGATTACTTCTATTCGCAGAAAGTTATTGCTTGTAAAACATTTATACAAAAAATTAATGACAAGGACAATTAAAACGATAAATTTTACTGGCAAAATGTCTTTTTCATGGAACTGAGCTTCTGCATATACTAGCCTTCTACACCCTTATTCCGCAACCAATGAAAGAATTTGGTTTGAAGGGCGCATTGTGGAGATTCCGTCGCAAGAGCATATTTCTAGGGTGAGAACGTACCTCCCACCTGACGATTTTAGGCCTGAAATCTCCTTATACTAAGAAATTTATTGGAATTTGATATGCGTTAGAAAGAAAAAAAGCACTTTTTAATGATACTAACAATACCGCATCAGAGATGAAATTCTCTTAGAACAGGTGCTTCAAACAAAAGGCGAAAAAATTGGACGGAACTTATGCAGCAGCCTAATATAAGTTTGTTAAGGAATGTGTGGTACCATTGGAAAGAGTTCAAGGGGAATTTGATGGATAATCCTGTTTGAACAGATCACATTTCTGATGAAAAAATCGAAGAAAAATAACCAGATTTTTTCATGAAACATGCTCCAAAAAACGAACTGAGTTTGGGTGTAAAATGCACCATTAGTGCGATCACATACGGTTTTGATATTTTAAATTATTTGCACGGCGATACATGGTCAAATTTCAATGAATTGGTGCCTAAGAACTGTCGCCAGAAAATCCTGCATATTTGATATGTGGGAGTAGATGTCTGAACCTGCCTTTACATAAAAATTTTGGCTGAATAACAGCTACTTAAATCCTTATATTGTTTCGTATTTGCACGCCAAAACAAAATTATTTTCTAGTCGACCTCACATTATCGATGCATGATTGAAACCGCAAGTATTTTTTTACACCGCGTTCCCATCTTTTTTTCTTGGTAACGGTTCCCGCAATAACAGGAGTAAAGAGTCCTGGTAAATGGATAGGTCACACTTTCAAGGAAATAAACACTAAATGTCACTATTTTAATTTCCAAACACCGCAGCAAGTCAGAAGGCTGCACATTTTGTACTCTCCCCTTCCTCCATGAAAATATCTTAATCAAGGCTGTTTTTTGACTTCCTTTATCGTTATCCATGCCAACTCATGACCATAATGCGGTACAGTGGTTTATGTTTCGCTGGGATCTGTTTAAGCCATTATGCAAGCTCAATCTGGCTTCACTTTTGCACTCACTGAGATTGAATCACTTTCGTTAGAGAACTTTTA